GGGGGGGGGGGGGGGGGGGGGGGGGGGGGGGGGGGGGGGGGGGGGGGGGGGGGGGGGGGGGGGGGGGGGAAGAGAAGATTTATGCGGTGCAGGCCAGAAGAGGAGCAATCCTGGGAACGTTCTAAAAGGCGGGAACCAAGGCAACCAATCTGATACCGCAACACCGAGACCAGGACAGCCATCGAAGGCTATGAAGCTTGCCCCCCGCCCTCATACCGTAGCAGTCGTACCCAAGACAGACAGCAGCATGCTGTCGTAGGTCCGACGGGAAAACTGGCCTCCATGTTCATTATCTTCACGGTCTCTGAACATTTTTCTCGAAATGTTCCGTACACGACCATGTTTCCTGTCTCTTCGATTCGTGTGATGGCATACCGATGGTATGCAACAGGAACCAAGCGAGCACGCACCCACCCAACGGCAACACGAGCGTTCTCGCAGAAGGCGGCGCAACTTGCTCACCCGAAACTCAACAAGCGGGTGGCTTTGTGCCTCCTCGTCCGGCACGGGGCCGACGCAAAGGAGGCGGTGGCACCGCTCCCAGTGCTCCGATCTGCAGCGGGGCGAGCAGTACACTTCCCCGCAGCCCCCGAGGCACTCATACAACCCCGATAGCTTGTGCGCTGGGGCAGTCTGCAGCAGATCGTTCAATGCCCGAAACGAATCACACAGCAAGAGAGAGAACCGACGATGGTCAGGCGGTAGGGGGAGGAAGAGGGACGCACAAGAGGAGACAAAAAAACACAAGACAAGCGCGGTGCATACATGCCGCAAGACGCTCAAGTCATCAGTGTTGGGGGTCAGCAGACGAAGCAATGGGCGCTCTGACCTCGTCTCAAAGTACAATCGATACACGAGCTTCCATCCCTGCGGACATTGGACACTTCAATCTTTGAGTGAGAGGGGTATGGTACCAGTTTATCTGTCTTCGAAGTTCAAAGTTATTACTAAGAGAACCAAGGCCACTGTTGCTGTTACCAAAAGCCCAAAACAAACCCCATACTTTCATCAACTGGTTATATTTTGCAGCGTTGCCACACAACCAAGAGATTTTTCAAAAATACAAGCTTTTGGCATCGCCAGTGAACAAAAAACAAAAAACATTCGGCACCAGAAAAATCAGAAAAGTCTTATTGTAGGACAACTCAACAAAGACATAACCAATTGGTATGCTACGACGGGAGAACCGGAGGCAGCAAACAGGCACTTTGACCAAATCGGTCCAAGTAACGCAAATGATTACCAAAGAGAGAACGAAAAATGGAGGCTCAGCAAGTGAAGGAGTATTCATCACAAAGCTTCCAAACGGAAGCCGTAGATTATGAATAGCGTATATTATGTATGCTTTCTTCATCAGCGCCCCCGTCAATCGTTCTCCCAAATAACAAAAGAAAATTGTTCAACAATCCTCCGGAACAAACTGCTGTCAGTCACGCACCCACGAGCAAAGTGCCTGCGCTTTCATTTACCGACGCTGGAAACCACACAAAGCCAGAGGCGCAAACGGTGCTCACGCATCGGCATGGACCCAAGGTCACAAGACTCGAACAACATATTCAACCACCCAGAAAACAAAATAGGACTAAGCAAGCCAGCCAAAGGCGTCTACGCGTGGGCGCAATCGTGTTTGCCGTCTCCGAAATCTCGGAAAATCTCGGCCTCGCTTCTCTCACCTGATCGTCGTGGCCGTTGGAATCCCAACACCGTTGGCGAGCCTTGTATCGTGCGAGGCACTCAGGTCGATTGAGCCCCGTCAAAATATCGAGCTGTCGATGGGACCATTTGATCGGCCCAGGACAAAAGTTGAACAAGGAGGGAGACAACGTCGGTTCCAGGAAAGCAACACTTTTGATTCGTCGCGGAAATTCACCATTGTCAAGGGCGAAGGTTGTTGTCATATGCCCATCGAGACAGTGACAAAACAAGGCTCCAAGCTGTTATATAGATTTTTTAAAGATTGCTTCCCACCATATGCATGGTGACATGGCGATAAATAATGTACCGTGTATGACACAAGATAACCCACCCCCTGGATCGATTTTCAGAGCTCGATTACTTAACGACGAAAAGGATGCATAAACGAAACGATACATTTTCGAAACGCTCTCGACGAGACAGTTTCAACGCGACCGTTTCCGGCGCTGTGACTGTTCCTGCAGTAGAGAAATCAAGCTTCCAAAATTGGTCAAGGGTGTATGTTATCTTGTGTCATATACGGTATCCCACGCTGCTACAATGTCTAGATTCATTCGCTGAAACACTGAATGTCGTATGCATAGCGTGCCCAACAAGAGCTCCTTGAAACCAACACAGCTAGCTCCTGGAGCCAATCGAAGAGGCGTGCACAGTAAATGTCGAGCCTTCCGCAAAGAGCCCTGATACTTTACGTGATTCACCGCCACAGATGGAATCACACGACCAACTACAAACTGCCCCGAATGGCCACGAAAAAGAATGCCGCTTTAGGACAGTCAACCGGAAACAAAAACAGACGTGGCAGGAGGACACGTGAGTCGAGCGCACCACACGGCCACGCTGGACGACGGGAAACAGCAAACAAATCATAACACGCCTGTATGAGCGCTATCGCTATCGCCTTCACAACAAAAGTTGTTCCGGTCTCCGCTCAGTACCTTCTAATATCCGCGCTGGCCCAGCTGACTCGGATGCCTTCCGCGGACCCAGGTCAACAACCCAACAAGGGTGCACGCTTGTAGAAATCATATGAAAAACAAAATAATTCTTCCAAGGGACTAAATTAACGTTTACCTGGGAGATGACGTCGCCGGCGAAGCCAAGGCAGTTTCGGCAGACGGTCACGTCTAGGGCGTTATCGAGGCTTTGCATGGCGACGAGTGGCCTGGTTTCCAGGGCGTTTCGGTGGACAACGGCAAGGGGGGAGGGGGATGTGCGTGTGTACGTGAGTGTGCGTACTCAGCCGTGCGTGCCGTAGTCGTTAGGGCATTCACCTCGCATCCCTAAAAAACTGGGACGGAGCACGACAGGTTCTCATCGGATCAGGCAAGGGGGGAGGGTTGATACCGGAAATCACGGCCATGAAGGTAAGCCATGGACATTTCTATAACACACAGAACAGCGAACACGCTGGATTGTTGCGTTGACGACCGATGCCTGTAGTTGATGAGATGCGTGCGGCCAAAGGGGTACCGTCGAATTGTTGCCGACGTCAACCCCATACAGCACTACACCAAATGGCTTCCCGTACTTCTACTTTGGGGGGCGGGATTGAAACCTGCATGCCAAGAGACACCCACAACAGGAACACATGCCGCGGATAAATTCACCGGCACGGGTCAACCATTTCGCACGCAGCGAGCGTGGCTGTGCGTCCAAAAGCGAAGGAACGTGAATAGATGTAAAACAAGACCGTCAGGTTCCTTGCCCCACTCCCGGGCTCGCGTTGCAGGCGCCAACTTCGCCATTTGAGGTGCATGGTTGCAGCCAGGTCGAACGGGTGATGTTGTGTGTGTGTAGTCTGTTAGCGTATGCATATACTCGTGCGTGTCCAGAGAATTCCCCTGTCGTTGACTTTCATGCCCTTCGTCATCTCTTCAAAAATAAGTAGGGCGGGGACGGTACGATGTTAAGCTCCGAATTGCCGTTTCAACCCATAGAAGGTCACCAAGGCGGCACACTCCAGGACCTCCAGCCCGGGGGCCAGAGTTCAACTGTGGGCACACACACGCCAGGGGGGCCAAAAGCGATCGATACCTTTGACAGAAGCAGCAATGCAGTGTCAACAGGAACGGAGCCAGTGGGAGAGCGGTGGTATGGAACGTATGGGGTTTGATCTCCGCGCCGGAGAACGCCTGGCCAGCGCATGGAGGGGGCGCTGTCGGCTGCCTGATGTCTGGCGCGGGTTTGGTTTCGGCGAATTATTTTAGCTCCCAAATCTCGCGTATGTGCGTGTGCGAGAGAGAAGACACAATCGTCCACAAGAAAAGCCTGATGATAGGTCTTAAAAGGCCACCGATGCTTGCGAAGGGGACACGGGAATTGATCTGACGGCTATTACGCTGCTGCGCACCAACTCAACAAACTGATCAGCGATCGAGAAGCCGACTCCAAAACCCTGTCCTGTTGGTTAGCTGATATCTGAGGGGGGAAGTCAAACGGGGAACGACCCTGCCTTTCCACAGACGACCAAATTAGACGGGAGAGGAGTGATGCTTGTACTGCTGCTGTGGAAATAAGAATGTTCCGCAAATGGCGAAGCGTGCTCAGCGATTTGAAAGTATCCGCACCGACCCCAACGGAGCCTACAGAGCGTATATTAAGAGAGTGCGACGGATAATGCCGCACTTCTTTCGACATCCTTGCACATCGGGCTCGTCATCCCTCGATACCATTTGCACCATGCTCTGCCAACCGGGGGGTCCCATCAACTCCGCCATTCAGCGGGACAGCTGCAATTAGGGCTGCTTATGGCCCAACACGAAGTGGAGGAAAATATTTCGAAACGTGTCTCGCATCTTCCGGACGGAAAATGTTCGAGCCAACCGAATCTCGAGAACCGATCCTTGGGCACCGTGGGAACTGACTGCGTCACAGCGAGCTGAGGACCACACACAACATACGCCTACAGCAAGAAACGATGGCGGACGATTCCCAGACACACGTGACAGGCGTCAGGAGAGTAGACAGTTTGCCTGGTGCTTGGAGGTTGAGACTTGCGTTGTTTTTGCTGCTGCTGCGATAAGTGTCACATGTGACGTAAATATCCGTTAGATCCATCCAACTGAACGCGTTCGTTGTTTTCTATCACAAAGAAATGCTGGCGCGATTGACCTAATCGTGTGCTGCCGGATCTGTACCCCAAGGTAGTGAGCGCACTGCACCCTCGCTTTTTGAAGACTAGCATCGCCTCGGATGTCAGCAGGACAATCGTGCCGAAAAACTGCCATAATCACAGTTTTTTCGCAGTGATGTCGTGTTGCATAAACGCGTAAGAATACAAAAGAGTTTGCACTACACTTGAAAACGCCTCGGGCCAGTGTATGCCAGATATCAAGATCCGAGGCGTCCCTGGGAGCAAGGGGCATCTCGTCCAAAAACGCACATCGAAGGCGGCATATTATCGAGTAATTGGGGAGACGGCGCCGTCCGATGGACAAAGTTGATACGTACATATTTTTCCGGGCGAATATCATCAGGAAAGATACATACGAACAGAGAAAGACTACCCATTCGAGATACTGTATGGCGAGAATCACCCCACAGACTGGACATACATGTATCTTTACGCGCTAGCAAGGCCGATTAGCACCCTGAACTCGAGTAGTCATACACCATTCGAACTGGACACAACGAAGATGAAGTACATGCCGCGGAGTCTCGGGCCGCGTCTCGACCAATGTCTCGCGACGTCTTCTGTGCTAGTGAAACGCTTAGTGCGCTTCAGGAGCACGTGCCCCCGCCCGGCCCGTCCACGTGAAAGGTCTACATGCACGCCAGGCAGCGGAGCAACGGGCACCACAAAATTTGGCATCTCCTACTTCCAAAACAGAGGTGACAACACACACCTTTGACGGAGGGACAAGAGAGGCTTCATCTGCACCGCACATGTCGACGAGATGCCGGCACAGCAGGTGCTGATGACATAGCCGTGGGGCTGGTGTTCAGAAACACGCGCTGCTGCTGCTGCTGCTGCGGCGGCGGCAGCGGCGGCGGCCGAGCCGTGTGTGTTGTGTGGTACAGACCGCTAGTCGCGCGCACCTCTCGATCAAGATGGTTGCTCCCGCTTTCATGTCTGCCGTGGCGAACAGCCCCCGCCCTCTCCCATCCGTCAGGCCGACGGAAACTGCGGCAGCCGCCGCCTCGCCGTTGCAATCTTGCTGGCCGATTAAACTCATGGCGGAGGATGGCGTGGAGCGCTGCTGTGGGAGTGCGGTGACGAGGGCGTGGCGGCGTTAAGAGCGCGCGAGACCACAGAACTTGACAGTCTCGGCGTAATAAAATACAAGTTGGCGTGCTTGCACACGAGAAAAACATCAACAAATCAACTCAGGAGGTGCGACGGCGCGACAACTTCTCCGAATTAGGGGAGAGGGAAGCGCAGCACTCGCTGTGACGTCCCAAGTCAGGTACCATGGGGAAGGTCAACAAGCGCCAGCGCAAGTTCCTGAGCAAGAAGGTCCTGACGCACAGGAAGAAGGGTGGCGTGCGCCGCGACAACAAGTCAAAGGGCAAGGGTGTTGGTGGTGCTGCTGCCACCGCCCCAGAGGCCTCTCAGGCGCCAGGGGCGCAGCACCGCAAGACTCTGCCTGACGGCGTCGACACCGCTGCCTTCCTAGAGTGCCCGTGGCTGAGCCCGGAGGCATGCGCTAACGCCGGGCGTGATGCCTGCGTAGCCCCATTCGAGCCCGAGGCGGCTCTTCTCGAGGGCGCTTCCCCCAGCAAGAGCGGCAAGCAGGGAGGGGGCGGCGAGGGCAGCGTCAGCAGCAGCCTGACCGAACAGGCAGCGCGTGCCATGATCGGACGAGCCGTGGACGAGCGGTCGCTTGACGACCTCCTCCGCGTGGTCTGGGCATTGCAGGCCATTGGTGACCCTTCCTCCGCCGCCGTGCCAACGACATCTCATCAACCGCTGCGGGCCGCCCCCGGGTCAAAAGCCGCGGACGCACTCATCAGCGAGGCCTCGTCGCGGCTGCACCTGGCGTTTCGCGCCCACCTGGAGCCCGATCGCGACGAGGAGGATGGATCCTCCGTGGAGGAGTGGGAGGACACTGTCAGGGCGCACCGGCAGAAGCTTGAGAAGGCGGAGGCCTGGCCTAGGCTGGGCGGGGCTCTGCTGAGCTTCCTGACGTCGGCCTTGGACTGCGTTGAGACGGAGTGGGCAACGTCAATCTCGGTTGCTGTGGAGGGTTGTGCCGACAGCAGCAAGCAGGGGAGTTCGGCCGCTACTTCTGCTTCTCTCGAGGATGGGCTAGACCGTATGCGGAACCACGTCCCACTTCTCTTCCCTTTCCCGCGGCTTGCGCGCCGATACCTGTCGTTCCTGCTCGCCGTTCTCCAGACGTCCGACAGCACTGCCGCGCTGTCCCTGGCCTTCGTCCGGCTGTACGAGCTGTCCACCTCTCAGCCGATGCCCTTCTTGCACGATGCCTTCAAGGGGTCTTACCGCTGCTACCGCGCAGCGGCGGAGCGCATCGGCGGCGGGAGAGGGGCGCGGGTGATGGCGAGGGGTGAAGGCGCTGGGTCCTCCTTGCCGCTGCTGCGGGAGTGCTTGGCGGAGCTCTTTGGCGTGGAGAAGCCGTCTGCCTATCTGGTGAGAGCTTTGAGTTGGTTCGGGGTTGACCCTCCAGTGTGGAATTCGCCAAGAAAAACACTTCAAAGGCGATATCATTTTGTCACAATCTTCCGAAAGCGGTTGAAGCTTAGTTGGTGTATGTGTGGTGGATGTGTCACCTTGGGTCTGCCGCCGCCCCGCGCTCGCTGTGTGCTGCCCCTCAATGGGTGAGAACATTCTGTTTGGTGTTGCCGCGTGAACTGTCCCTTCTTGAGCTGTCCTGTAGACCATGCTGCCGTCGCAGTCCCTGTCTTTGTCACTATGCTTGCCGCCTATGACGTTTACCCATGCGCTCTCCTCGATGCCCCCACGTGCACATGATCCGGGTCCTGTTCGAGTTCAACACCTGTCTCCCCTGTCCCCCGATGCGCGCGACCACGTACACTAGAGGTCCCCGTTTAGCGCTGGCATGTGCCCAGAAAATTCACCGACACTATACCGGACCGGCGCTATTCAAAGTTTTTGAGAATAACTTTGGAAATTCAGTGTGTGCACGCCGAAAACACCGGCATTACCCCGGCAACCGGCGTTAAGAAGGAACCTCTATGCTATGCCTGACACCTCGAATACTCCTGACGCACCTCTCTTGGGTACGCAGCACGCGTACGTGTACATCCATGAACTCGCTCGCGAGGCTGTGGGGGCGGCGGCGGAGGTGAAGAAAGGAGGCGGGATGGCCAGGGAGGCGGGGCCGGCGCTGAGGAGGTTGCGCTCGTGGGGGTTCTTGCAGAGCTTGCAGGTAGGGAGGGGGACGTGGGCTGATGGTGCACACGGTGTTGGCGTGCGTGTGGCTTGTCGTTTGTGGGTTCTTGTGTTGTTGTATTTTGTTTGGATATTTGGTAGGACCGCAAGCCGTCGTCTCTACTAATCGTACGAGTGTAGCTGTGAGCCCGCGTGCAAGCTTTTCTTGCATGTGTAGGAGGACCGATCTCTCGTCGGCTACCAAAGAGAGAGAGAGAGGATAGGACGAGACATGTTTGTTGAACCGGTTTTTTTCGCACCACAAGCTGTGTTTCGTCGCTCCGCCGAGGCAAGGTTTGTCCTATGGATACCCCCCCCCCCCCCCCGTAATCGTACCGCCGCTAGAGTACGCCGGAGATGTATGGGAAGCAATTAAGAAGGTAGCGAAAGAACTCGAGGCGGCGCAGATGAAAGCAGCGAAAATCATCCTAGGATGCTCCAAGCGCACAAGTAATGCAGCCGTCAGGGCAGAATTGGGGATCCAATCCCTACGGTCGGGAAGAGACGCGAGGAAGCTGACATGGCAGTATCGCATGTGCGGGATGGGAGAGGAGAGGTTGCCGAGAATTGTATGGGAGGCGAAGTGGGCAAACAAAAAGAGGGGTAGACAACCCACGGAATGGGTCAAGATTGTAGAGGACGTATGGAAGGGGCTCGACATCGACGAAGATAAAACGCTAGAAACGGAGGGTCTAAAGGGATCCAAGGAGAAGATATTTGTTGCTTGTGCCGAGAGCGAAGAACAGAATCTGAGGAAAGAAACCGAGGATAAGGAGGGTCTAGAAGTGTACGGAATGTTGAAGGAAGGGATAGGGTTCGAGGATTACCTACATAGACCAATGGATGCAGGAACAAAGCTTAAGGTCAAAGTCAGGACCGAGGACATAGGCCTTCGAGAACGTCGACGAAGGCATAGGACGGTAGACGACGAAGACGACGAGTTCAAATGTGATTGCGGCTTCGAATGCGAAGACCGTGTTCATGTAGTCGCGGAATGTCCGTTGTGCAAGAAGGAGAGGGAAGTGCACGTGACTGAGCTGGGAAAAATAGATGGGACGCACAGGGAGATGTTTGAGGCATGGAATAGAAAGGAAAGGACGGTAGCTGTACTGGGGCATAGTTGGTGGGTTGAAAAGGCGGGAAGGGATATCGTTAGGATAGACAGACGAGGGAAGACGTTTTTGAGCCACTTTTGGCGAAGTAGAAAGGAACGATTGGCCACTGGTGATCGGTCCTGTGGGAACGATGCTCCGTCCTCTCTAGGACGCGTGGTCAATGCCCGCTAAGGCATGCAAAACACAAGAGTACGCCCCCCCCTCCCCCCCCCCTCCCCGCCCGCCGTCCGCCGTATGCATCCCGGAACTTGCCCACCATGACTCCTCTCCTAGCTCTGGACTAGTGTCGTCACGGCGCACCCCGCCAAGTCTTCTCTTGGCCCCCTGGTACCTCCTCTGGCCAAGGTGGGTTTGGGTTGACTCTCATTGCTTTCTCGTGGCAACATTTTGACGGGCTTGCGCCAGCCCCGAGGGAGATGGCTGCGTGTACGGGAGTTGTTGTGAGCATCCTCTCGGCGGTATTCTTGGTGGTGGTGTTTCATTGTTGCGCCCTCACTTCTGTTTCCGCCAACTGTTTTCGCCTGGAACGTCGATAACATCAGCGTTGGTTGCTATCGGAGCTGAGGAACGTTACAGGCACGTCGGTTAGAGTAAAGGTTTCGTTCCGACCACGCCGAACTTAAATCGCGACTCCTGGTTGTTTGTGAAATAGGTCTTGGTTATGGCCGCTATATGGTTCCGTTAGCCGTGCTGCTGACAGCTTCGGGCTTCGCCGTGCTGGGGCTGGCTAATTTGGAGACCACGCCCTCCCCCCCTAGCGGAAAAGGCCAACTATTCCTGGATAGCAAATCCTCATTTCCTGACAACACTCCACGCGATCCGTCGTCCTCTCGTCAACCAGGCGCTGGAAATCACGTTCCAGCTGTCGCCAGGCCTCTATGGTGCCCCCCGCACCCTAGCTCTCGCCCGCTCGGCGCAAGACCTGGCCGCCGCCGCCGGCGTGTTCCTGCCGACCTCTCACTACCTCGTCGGCCTGCTGGAGCTTTTGCACGCTCGCGAGGCCCGCCCTGGTGCCACCGCCCCCTCCGCCGGGGGACCCGCGGATGGGGAGGAGGCGGGGCCGGGAGGGCTGACCGTGGCTAGTGGTGGCGGTGGCAGTTCCAAGAGGCAAGGACGGGGAGCGGCGGCGGCGGCGGCGTTAGATCTGTCGGCGATGGCCGGTCTCGGGAAGGAAGATCTCCGGGTAGCGGAGGTGCGGGCGGCGGTCTCGAGAGAGGCGGCGGGTTTGATAGCGAGGGAGGCGGTGTGCTACCGCTGGAGCGCGGGGATGCCGGAGCTGTGCGCGAGCACGGGGGCCCGGCTGGGCCGCCTGCTGGACGGGGGGGGGNGGGGGGGGGGGGGGGGGGACCTCGGACGGCACGACGGGGAGGTGGCGGGCGAGGGTGAAGGCCCTCCAGACGTCGCTTCGGAAGTCGGCCGCGGAGACCATGGCGAGAAGGGCGAGAGGGAGCAAGCATCCCGGGGAGGCTGGCCCGGTGGACACCTTCAGGGGCATGGTGAGATATTTACATCCCGCCAAATATCTGTGTTTTGTGTTTGTTTTGATCGTGCGAAGTCTGGAATATTTTTGTTGTTGTCTTTCCGGGGTGTGATGATGTGGTTCGCGTTGTTGGTGCGTACTTTTTATGTAGTGGTGAGGCTCGGCATGATCGGCATGGTGGTTGGTTTCGATGCGGCGTACTTCCCTTGGAATTCGAGTTCGCATTTTGGACCCCCTCCCCCCCAACTATTTGACGGTCCCCGCATTGAAAAACGCAGCTGGGCCTGGGCCGAGATTTGCCTTGTTGGAAACAAGTGATCACCAGCGTACCTACCATCCTTGTGTGCTGCTAGACTACTTTCATCATCACGAGCCTTCTTAAACCTCAATCAGTTCCTCCCCATACTCCTCTAGCCACGCGCGCGGTTCTTCTCCGATACCAGGTGTGCAGCAGCAGTCGTCAACGTTAACATTTGCTCTTCTTGCCGCGGTGTGCGCACCTCTCATCCCCCCTTCCGTGCCCGCCCACACTGTCCCGGCTCTGGCAGGACGAGTCGACGGCAACACAACGCCTGCGTGTATTCAAGGAACCCTCCTGAGTCTCCTCGACCGACATAGTCTACGTATGATGTTGTCTTTGACCGAAAGGAGGACCGTTGGGGAATGATAGAAGAGACAATGATATTTTTTGCCGGCAGCACCGCCTTTTGGGACACGCTTGCGCAACTTGCCTTAGGACCGTTCCGGGGATGCCGCTCCGGGGGGTGGGGGGGTAGCAGTTTTCAGCGGGAGGGGGGGTGGGGGGGTGGGTCCAAAAGGAGACGACAGCAAAAGTAGAACTCGACCTTGGCTTGGTGTGGTTGCCCTTGCTGGTTTGATGCGGCTTGATTTCGCGCTGTGGTAACTGGTTGGCCAATGAGTGTGTGTGGCCTGGTGACGCCTATCGAAGCCGCTGAGAAGCAAGGTTTCATGTTCATGGGGTGATGTTAGATGGAGATTGTCGAGAAAGCTCGAAATGTGACGGCCAGCTGTGCCGTTGTCCGATCTCGAACAGCCTACACAGCTACGTGCTTACACTCCTCAAAGAGCCCAGCGACACAGCGAACGACACCGATCCAAAATTAAAAAGATACAAAACCAAAGCTGTGTAGCAGTACAAACCTGTGTAGCAGTCTTGCGTGTGCACTTGGCGGCGGGTCGAGTAGAGCCGAGCCATCGGGGACGACTGTTGCTGTCACGCGATTGGAAGCTTGAGGCTTTCTTATCTTCGCTCGTTGAACCGGGGGTACTGTACTGTACACTCGAGCGCCTTTTGTGGGTCAAAGTGCTTTCTCCAAGAACCGGCGCTCAGCGGCTCTTTGTAACTCCCGTTGAACACGAAACGCTAAAGACGCGTAGGAACTCCTTCACCATGAACGTTCTCTGTACATAAGACCCGGGTTCTTCTATAACATGTCGAACACCTGGGTTGGTTGGTACACGAAGAAAACACAAGCAGCGACGAGGCATGCCTCTTCCCCCCACAAACAAAGCCTTGCTTACACAGCGGTTCGGCGAATGGAAAAAAAATTATCCCGTTCTTCTGCCTCCCTGCACGCCTGATGCCGCCTTCCTGCTGCTGCCTTCAACGCCTCGGGCAGTAGCAATTGCCCTCTCGCGAAACGCGTTCACCCCTATCGGACTACACGCTGCCCTAGTCGCGGTAGTGCCGCTGCTGCCACCGTTGCTACCGTGCCCCCTGCTAGCAATGCATCCCGGGGGTTTCCACGGAAAGCCAGTTGGCGCCTTCGTCCACGTGCTTTTGCTGACGGCAGCGGCAGCGGAGGCGTTGCCGTCACCGCTGGTGTTGCCGCCGGGGGCCGCCGCCGTGGTCCCGTACACGAGCCGCGTTAGTCGCTCCATCGCTGTCTCCATCGACCTTCGCTCCTCGTACCACCTGGTGCGCGAGGTGCCGGAGGCGTGTGTGTGCGTGCCAATCCGTCAGCTGTTTTTTGGCACGAGGGCACAGCAGCTGTATTTCGTCGAACGGCAGCGTTGGGGTGGGATTTTTGCCCCAACTCGTGTGCGAAACATGGTCGGGGTCAAAGCAACGACCAAAAAAACTGGCGATTGGAGCCCCGAGGGTCCCGGCAAAGCACACGTGATGATCGGAATCAGGAAGGTTGGTTTTGTTCCGCGCGTGACCGTTGTCATTGGTCGCCGTGGATAGCCTAAAGATCAAACCATCGGCCTTAAAAGCAGTGCTTATCTTATCTCACCTGGCCCTTTCCGACTCAACCATCGCCACTTCTTGCTGAGCAATCTCGGCTGCCCGCTGGAGCTGGGAGAATAGAAATCGAGGAGGGGGCGCGTCCGGAGGTCGTCAGTACGAAAAGGCGTGTCAAGTGAGGGTTTAGAGGAGGGGTGTGCGGGGACACACGCATTTCTTTAGTCAACAAGAGGAGAATTTCGGCCATCCTTGCACCTCCGAAGCGCTGCAGCGGCATCCAGGGGGTCGACAGTAGTATTGTTTCCAAACTCCCATCCCTTGGCTGTTACCCCTGCCAATTCCCTTCCGTGTACCCCCCCACGCCCACCTCTAGAGAGGCAAAGCCCCTGCACATGGTGTGCTTTAGGCACGATGCCGACGAGTTTAAAGGAGCACTCTGGACACCTGCTTTCTGCTTTCTGCCCCCATTCTTAGCGTACAGCACAGCAGTGGTTCGGTAACCTGCAAGCTCCTCTGCTGTGGGGTTGCTGTATTCGTATGCAAAGGCTTTCGGCGGTTTTCCGGGCGTGCTGCACAAACTCCGGTCAAAACTTCGCACCGCATACACACCACGGCCTCACCGACCAACCACTACACAAGACTGCGCGACTTGTGATTCTTTCCTGTTTGGTTCGGTGTGGCTTGCTGGGCTTCCAGTTGAAAACATGCCCAGCTTTTTGGGCCGATCAAGCTTGGAAAGCTTCACCGCGGCTGCTGGCAGTTTCCTATTCGAGGTTTCTCTTCTTCGTATGGCGTCACCCCTCGATGGCGCTCACGTGCTCTCGTGAGCTCGCCCACTCCGTATGTGACATGACACAAGATGCCACGAACCCCGGACCGCTTTTCAAAAAATCGATTACTCCAAAGCGGCGGCGGTGCCAAAAGCGGCGGCGCCGAAGCCGTCTAGGCAACATCTATGTTTTACTCCTCATAAACTTAGTTTCTAGCGAAGGCGGTCGTACCACACAGCCAGCAGTACCTGCAAGTTGGCTCTCGCCCGCCGAGCCTGCGCGTTGCGATCCGATTCCAGCTCCGCCAACGCCTCCCTCAGCTGTCTCTTGACCTCCGCTCCCTCGGCACGTTCGAGGCGGGCTTCCTGAACACCACAGGGGTCGGGGGCAGGGGCGTGATGGAACAGTCTTGATGCACAGGAGGTGTCATGCTCCCCCCAAACAGTGCGTGAATCAATGACACCTATAGATGAATACCGTACTTATGTGCATGCGTTTAGGTGTTGGCCAATACACCGGGGTAGGCGTCAAGAGGGGTGGGGTGGGGTGGGTGGGTGGGGACACATCACGAAGGGCTGTGATGCAATACCGTACCGCAGGTGCTATAATCGAGCTTTGATCTGTCCACGGGGTGTGATATCTTGAGTATAGCACCTACGATAGTCTTATTTACAGGAGGCGTCCTGCTCTCCCCGAAACAGTGCGTGGACACTGAAACCAATATACTTTCATGTACGGCACAAGAAGTGATACTAATACTACCATGTAGATGAGGTTTAGGTTGTGGCTTACTATGCACCGGGCCAGGCGGCGTTCAGGAGGGGAGCGGGACACACACGCGCACGTACGAGCAAAGAGGCCTGGTTGAATGCAAGCGAAAGGTTCCATGCCCGCAGTCTGCGAAACGGTTTCTGAAGGCGGAGGTCATGGTGGTAGGGTGGAAGGTTGCTGCAGGGTCACCCGTTACGAGACAACCAAGTCCATGTCCGGTTTGGGCAACATTAATGTGCTACTATGCATATGAGCTGGTTAGGATTTGTGTGTCAGTTCCCAGTTGTATTCTGAATGTCTCAGTATTTTCACCTTTTGGTAAATTAGGATGCAAGCAGAAAATGACAAGAGCAAGCACACGTTGGTTCTGCAATACACAGCAACACACGACTGAGGCAAGGCTGAGTGAAGCACGAAAGGTCGCGGAGGGAGAATGTACCATGGCGGCGGGGTGGTGATAGTTTGCTTTCGCTCCTACGGTGTGAGTGTACCTACTAATACAGCTGCCAACAAGAAAGTGGAGGTACATGCTTTTGACTACGAAACACTACCATCGTCAACACTGCTTTCAGTACAGTAAGCAGGTCTTCAAAGCTACGCGGGGAGCGTGGGGAGGGGGGGCGGGTGTACTCATAGCCGTGCATGCCGTAGTCGTTAGACCATTGACCTCGCATCCCTACAAAGCCGGAACGGAGCACGCCGGGTTCTCACCGGACCAGGCTCTCACATCACCAAGCGCGAAGCGCCGTGAGGTATTCGGCGAGTCGCATGAAGGGTGCGCTGCATCCTGCTAAGGGTGTTCGGCATCTTGTGCTTACTTCCTTGCGTGCGGATGACAGCTGCGTATGACTTAATATATTTTCTGGTGCTTTCACTACCTGAGACAGTTGTAAGCACTGTTAGGGGTGCCAATCGGTCAAATTTCCTATAGGAAAAAATTTCGAAAAGTGTCCTGGATCTTCCAGATGGAAAATCGCTCGAGCCAAAAAAATCACATCGAACGTTCCGAAGAACCCCGCCAGAACCAAAAAACACCTGACGCCCCGCGAGCGCGAAGCGTGTGTGAACGCGTTCCGCCGTGCCGTGGAGGTTGCACACGGCACCCTAGCGGCACCCTAGCGCCGTCCGCAACCTAGCAAACATGCCTGGTGGCTCACTCGAACAGCCGCCGGGCGGTGGGACCGCGCGGACTCCTCCTGCTGGAGGAAGCAGTGCTCCTCCTGCTGCTGGCGAAAAAAACAGCAGCAGCGAGGAAGCACCCATCATCTACGCCCACCGCCTCCGCCTTCGCCTTGTCTCGTTCAGCCTCTTGCTTCCTCCGCTCTGCCTCTTGCTGCGACCGCTCTGCCTCTGCTCTCTTAGCCTTCTCCTCCTTTAGCGCCTCGGTGCTCTCGCGCGCGAGCTCCTGAGCCATGCTGCACTCAGCGGTGCTTGCCGCCTCGCGCTGTTTACTTTCGACCAACTCATGCTCCTTTTCTGTCAGCGCTTTCTGTGCGGCGGCAACACCGCCCCTTTCGACCGCACGCCGTGTGTTTGACGCTGCGCAGGCGGCGTACACAGACTGCCCCGACGCCTGTTCGTACTTGGCTTGGTTTTTCCTGAGGTTCTTCGCGGCTCGCCTGCTGCCGCCACCAAAAACGCGCCTCTCTTTTTTTTGGTTACGTTTTTTTTGCTGCTGTGCTTCCCTGACAGGCGCTGCAGGAGACCCGCTTGGAAGACCATTTTCAGACATGTAGATCTCGCTGTTGACTTGAGCGATTCCAGTTCGGTCTTTTGTGTTGTGTGGTCTAACTCCCAAGGTGGTGCACTGCAAGCTCGCTTTCTCAAGAAAGTCAGAGGCGGCCTCGGGCATTGGCCATACAGCTGAAATTTGTAGGTTTTTCTGGGTTGTTCATCCGCCCTATAAACTTAAGCATAAACCGAGCTTGCAGTGTCCTCTATTGGACTTGTGTCCAGATGTGTGCAACGTATGAAGAGCCACGTCGCTGCCTGGACGCAGAGCTACTTATACAAAGTACGGAGGATAAAGTATACTTTGATCGGTATGATTCAAGAGCTGACTTGAGAACCAAAAAGTCCGCGTGCCCCCCTTTTTTTTCTCAAAATCCTCGAATAGACCGGTCACTTTTTTGCCGCCAAAATCCCCCCGATTGGCACCCCTAACTGTGTAACTGCCTCGAGGGTGCTTGACCAATTGAACACAACGTGGTGCGATCATCCCCTTGCGCGGAGTGAGGGTTTTCGACCCCGCACAAAATGATCTACTCGACCACCATTATGGTTACCGCCAAAAAAATAACAGAGGAAAAAAAAAAAAAACGGTAACCTTGGTTGCCGAGTTCACGTAGTGAATTGGCTTGTTTTAGGCTCATGTTTATGGCTTCCAAATCGAAATCTTCCTTTCTCTGGACAAATGTTGACCTTTTCGACCTTTTGGGCAGTCTGCCTCCCGAAAGAGTGCGAATCAGCTGTTCGACCTTTCGAGAATAGTCACAGCTTTGCCTGAGATGCATACAGACCGCCTATTTGTTTTGCCAGGGTACACGTTTGATTTTTTTCCAGCAGAGCAACATGTTGAAGATTCGGCCGAAAGGCCAACTCGGAGAAAATCTTGGGCCAAGATCTGTCCAAAAGCTGGTGTTGGAAAAATCTTGCGTGAAAATTGCGCATCTTGAAAAAATAAAACCTGGGCCCTGGCGAAAAATGTAGGCGATCTGTAGACATCTCAGCCAAAGCTGTGACTGTTCTCAAAGGTCGAACAGCTGATTCGCATTCGTTTGGGAGGCAGACTGCCCACAAGGTCGAAAAAGCCAACATTTGTCCAAAGGAAGGAATATAAAAGATTTGGAAACCATAAACATGGGCCTTACAACGTCGTTGCCAAGCGACGAAAACCCAATCCCGATGGCAACACCGAGGGGGGGGCGTGGGCTGATTTGCATGCTGTGCATTCTATGAGAGTGCGGGTCCACGGAAAAGAGGTGGTGATAATCGTTCCTTCAATGAAGCCTAATGAAAAAGAAAAAATGGTACGCTGAGTTTCAACATAAGTATACAATTTTATTAGAAGTTGATATTGGTGTTTCCATCCTTTAGGCACGCACAGAGGAAATATGTAAATTGTCCACCAGACATGCAACCTATGGTGCAAGTTGTACTGTAGTGCCCCTCCTCACCTCCATGACCTTTCTCAAGCGGCCCATCGCCAGGCCTTCCCGCTCTCGCGCTTGCGCTTCCGTCGCTACTGCTCGGTCCACTTTTTTCTGCCCAAATTCAAAACCCACACACAGACATGGAGAAAAGAAAAATAATAATAGAGGGCGCACCTAAGTGCCACCCAAAAAGAGAGAAAAACAGGCCACAAAAACTTGACCCGGGTCAAAAAGAGAACGGGAATCAACAGAGCCATGCCGATGCGAACGGAACCATGACCAACGAAAGCGAGCGGATGTCCCCTTCACGACCTTGGAGCGAACGGTTTGTCCGCCGCCTTTTCTTCAGAGACGTGAAATTCTCGACAAACCCGGGTTACAAGGGCCAACTCGACCAAAAGCTCGTTTTAATGGCAACCCAGAGCAATCAATGTGCTGCCACCGACGGAAAATACTTACACATGACTGAATTTGTATGGATTTACTTGTTTATTTACTTTTTGGCAAACGATAATAAACACATTTGGGGTGGCTTTATTCATTTCCTAGTTTTGGCAGGGCATATAGTCAATATTCTCAAGCCTTTCTGCAGCTGGCAAAAATAAGAGAACAGCACCAACCCAGCACCTACCTGTATGACCGCCAGCTCCTTGAGAAGCTTCGTCGACTCATTTCGGTGATTTTCCGTCCATCGCTGGAACTCCGCGGCCTCGCCCGCCATCGTAGCTTTGCAGGAAGCTGGCGCGGTGCGGGATAAGGAGGAGGAGGAGGGATGGATGGGGCGGCACTTGCTTGAGTTGATCGATTGAGCGAGCGCGATCCCAAGGGGGGCGCACTCATGTCAACGCATGCCGTACTTGTCCGGCCTTTGATCTCGCATCCCTACCACGAAGTGGAGCGGACGGAGCGGTATGCCGGGTTTTCGCCGGCCCATGCTACGAGGCTTACTCATGTCGTAGCCAAGACCCTCGGGAAATCGCCCATCAGGCTTAGTGCTGGGGTACCACTACATAAGCGTGACGAGGACACACACGTCGCACACTTCAGTGATTCTAAGGTTAAGGAACACCTAATTCTCGACGGGCGTCGGCTAAGTTGTCCCTCTCCTCCTTCAGCAGCGCCTCCAGCCGTTTCACCCTCCTCGCGTGCAAGCCTCTGAGCTTGTCGATGTCCCTGCGGGTGGCCTCGCCCGCCGCCTCCGCCTCCGCCTTTGCTTCCCGCAACTTGAACCAGAATTGGGTCATGACGGCCGCAACAACAGCGCCAATGAAAAAAAAAAAATGAGTGTTGCGTATCAAGGGGGTGTTAGGTGGTCAGTTCTTTACTCCCGTAATAGTGACAGCGACAACGTCAGCGACATCCACACCTAGCACTGACACAACAGAAGTACAGTACTTACTGTACCCATGGCAACAGCGACGCCGACAGGCACGAAGCACGAAGGATGAGGTGCAGGGTCACACGGGCCGAACGGCTCCAAACGCAAAAACGACAACGGCAGCAGCAGCAGCAGCAGCAGCAGCAGCAGCAACAACAACAACAGCAGCAAGAGCAACAGCAACAAGCCTGAGAGTTCTCACACATTAGCCCGCAGCTAACGGGACCGCTTCGATTCCTCTATCCCGCGGCGGCTATGAGTACACCCCACCCCCGGTGTTTGCCATCGGGGTTGGGTTTTCGTCGCTTGGCAGCGATGTTGTAAAGCAAGCCAATTCACTTCGTGAACTCGGCAACCAGGTTACCGTATTTTTTTTACCTCAGTTATTTTTTTTTGCGGAAACCATGAATGGTGGTCGAGTTGATTATACTCTGCGGGGTCGAGAACCATCACTCCGCGCTACAGGGGATAATCGCACCACGTTGTGTTCAATTGGTCAAGCACCCTCGAGACAATTACACAGTTCTTACAATTGTCTCTGGAAGTGATACCACCAGAAACCAAATCAAGATATACGCAGCTGTCATCCGTACTCAAGGAAGTAAGCACAAGATGCCGAGCACCCTTAGCAGGATGCAGCGCACCCTTCATGCGACTCGCCGAATACCTCACGGCGCTTCGCGCTTGGTGATGTGAGAGCCTGGTCCGGTGAGAACCCGGCGTGCTCCGTCCCGGCTTTGTAGGGATGCGAGGTCAATGGTCTAACGGCTACGGCATGCACGACTATGAGTACCCCCCCCCCCCCGCGGGCCAGCTCGCGCACCTGCTTCTCCCTCCGCTTGGCGTCCTTCGCAGCCTTGGCCGCCACCTCCCCCCTTATCCTCCTCTCCTGCGCCGACAGGGACACCCTCGTCTCTTCCCTAGCCTTCTCCGCCGCTTCTAGGACTAGCTGCTCACGCAGCGCCTCCTTCTCGACCTCGCATCTGCTTGACCCCCCCCCCCCCCCCCCCCCCCCCCCCCCCCCCCCCCCCCCCCCCNCCCCCCCGCGCGCCGAGGTGGGGAACACGGAGACCAAACGGCCGTTGCGCCAAGACGAACAAATGTGGCAACAAGGGTACAAACGACTTTATTTGTTCCTGTATCTGAGCATTTGCCGAATGAAGATGTATAAGCGAGAGAGAGAGTCGCATGACATCATCGAGAAGAAGGGAAATCACACACACACACAGACGTACACACTCTCCCGGGAGTTTCGTCACGTTCGATGGGCACATGATCAGAGTGGTTTCAATGAAAAACTTCCTCAGCAAATTCTGCTCCCAGGATCACCAGCAGCACAAACACCCGCAACCACCGCAACTCCAGCAGCAGCTGTAGCAGCAAGTAAATCAACTTATCTTAACAGCAACAACAACGTCCTACTACTGCCTACGACAACCTTCGGCTACAAACAACCCTTGAAGACCCGGGCGAGCGGGATAGGATAAAAAAAAAACCCAACCTTGAAGAAACTTCCGCGATTTCTCTTTGCTGTTTCGACCTCAGCGCTGACGCCACCTCTCTAGCTTGGTCGCCCAGACGGCTAATGCACTGGTCAAGCTCCTCGGCCTTAGAACAGAGCGAGTTTGGAAGAGAAAGATAGAGGGAAAGATATATATATATATAAGTATGCATGGAGAGAGAGACAGAGAGAGAGAGAGAGAAGTCGGTATATGTTGAAAGAGAACCATCGCCCCGGTGGTCTAGTGGTATCCTCATAATCCGCTAGTTGCAGAGGTCGTGAGTTCGAATCCCCATGGGGTGAAAAATGACAGCATGTGCGGGTGAAAGCGACATATAGCTAAGAAGCTTTCGTGAGTACCAAACTTCGACGCTAGCACCGTTGACGAGGGAAAGGGACGGCTGGACCCTTCTCGCGACAAAAATAAAGTTCAGCACGCACCACAGGAGGAAGGTGGGGCATGACAAGAAGGAAAAAGCCCTGGTGTTTACCCCCTCCTGTGTGGCCCTGGATGGTTGTAGTTGTACGAAAAAATACACTGAAAAGCGTAGTACTCTACATACGCTGAAAAGTGTAGTACACGTCTCACCACGAAAAAGGGGGGGACTGTCGCCATAGTAAATAGGACGAAAACACACACATACCAATACAAATAGTCAGAGGACTACGGCCAACCACGAACACAAGGGTACTCAAAAGAGAATCACCTACGAATGCATGGATCCGGTGGATGGACACGGAGAATTGACGTGCAAACCACAATCCAAACAACGGGCCTCTTACAGAACAGCGGTGCGACTTGCCCCGCC